AATGGTATTCACTAGACATAATGTTGAAAATGAACTGTACAACTTGTGGGGGGAGTGGGAGGGAAAAACTGGGAGAGAGCAAGGGAAGGGGTAACACTGTCCAAAAAGAAATGTACTCATTACCTGACTCACATAACTAATCCTTCTGTTTATCACTTTTACAATAACAATATAAATAAATAAATGTGTGCAAGTAGAATCTATACATTACCATTTGCTGATCTTTCATTTCATTTCTTACTGCTATTTCCTCCTACTTTGGTTTTTTTGCAGTTTATTTTTCTTACTTGAAGAAACTGGGACATTTCTCCTAATGCATAGTGTTTGTCAAACTGTGGCAAACAGACTGTTCTAAAATAGAGTGACTGGAAGTGGCGCTGTAGCTCAAGTGGTAGAGTGCTTGCCTTGAGCTGAAGAGCTGAGGGACAGCGCCCAGGCCCAGAGTTCAAGCCCCACAATCGACAAAAAAAAAAAAAAAAAAAAAAAAAAATATATATATATATATATATATATATATATATATATAAAATAGTGTGACTACTGCACACAAAAGTGCACAGTCCATGCAAAGACAACCAAAAGCAAAAGGCAAAAGCACTGACAATATCACAACCTATCCAAAGAATCCAACAAGAGCCAACTGAAATATTTAGAATAGCTGCTTAAAAATCTTCAACAAGCCAGGCTCTGGGGGCTCATGCCTAAAATACTAGCTGCTTAGGAGGCTGAGATCTGAGGATCGCGGTTCAAAGCCAGCCTGAGCAGGAACATCTGTGAGACTCTTATCTCCAATTAACCACCAGAAAACCAGAAGAGGTGCTATGGCTCAGGTGGTAGAGCACTTGCCAGGAACTGAAGAGCTCAGGGATAGCACTTGCCAGGAACTGAAGAGCTCGGGGATACCTCCCAGGCCCAGAGTTCAAGACCCACCAAAAAAAAAAAGTTTCAACATTTTCCAGTTAGCATGCCAAGTATTCTCTTTGAATTCCTATCTCATTCTGCAGATCACATCATGAGTAGTTCATAATTCATACTTTCCCTGTGTAAGTCTGGTCTGTTACATCTCCAAGGTACAACTTTCCAAGTCCCTCTATACTTCCCAGAAATGTAATAGCTGATCAAGAACTGAATTAGATTTAAATCTAAGTCTGGGTAAATCTTTATAGTTAGTACTGTGTCCTTCTATCAGGAAACACATAACTGTGATTGGTCTCACTCTGTGATATTAGTTGGCATTGGAGTGTTCTTACTAGTACTTCATGTCAAAGTATCTCTTGTCCTCTGAGACAATCCCTCAGGAAGGTCCCTATTTCTCAGGAACAAATTGTGTCTCCCTATTACCTCCATTTCTGATGCAGTACAGAATTTTGGGCTGTCAATTGTAACTCTTTACCCATTGTGAGGATCATAGACAGAGCTACTTAGTTATGCTGTAGATTCTGTTTATGGGATTTGATTTCACACTGCTATACCATTTTCTGTTTTGAAAGATGTCCAAACACTATAAAACTACTTCCCCACTACTTTTCTTAAAGAAAAATGTGGCCAGCATTGAACTCATTGATCTTCACACACACACACACACACAGACACACACACACACATACATAGACACGCACGCACGCACGCACGCACGCACACACACACACACACACACACACACACAAAGTACAGCACAACACAGCACAGCAAAGCACAGAATAGTTAGCAAAGTACAAATCAAACTTGCTAATCATGTTTTTCAGATTTCTTCTATCTTTATTCATTTTGTCTCATTAATCCATTGGTCCCTGGTTAAAGTCATTTAAAATCTTCTACTATGGTTATGAGTTCATCAAATTTAATTTTTAATTCTTCAGTATTTTGTTGTGTGTCAGGCATTATAGTACAAAGAAGTTCATAATACATGAGGGTTCTTAGTTGATACGTCATTTATTTCTATTTGTCATATTTTCCATAAATTCTATGCTAATATTAATACTTCTATAACTAACACAGCTGCACTATTATTAATACTATAATTAGTATTGCTCTTGATAACCTTTGCTGGATATATATTCTTCCCAGCCTTCAATTTCAACCTCTGTTGTGATTTTTGTTCAAGTTCTTTAAATATCCAATCTGACAAGTTTCTTTAATTGCTAAGTTTAACCCATTTAAATTTGTGAATGCAAATGCACATGGACCTCAATTTGGGTTTTCTACTTACCAAATTATTTTTTATTTTATTATAACTTCTGTTGACTTGGATCCTTTCTGCATTCCTCCTTCATTACTCCTTCAATTGTCAAGCTATAAATCATACTGCAATCTAAACTAAGTATGTTACCCATTGTTTCTATCTTTTCCCTAAGTTCCGTAACAACTTTAACAGATCTTACCTACTGACTATTCCTTCTAATTATTGGTTATTTTATTTATTTTTATTTTTATTAGTTATATTATTAGTTATTTTCAGATTTCATGTTTTCTCCACAACTGAGTATACTGTCATAGTTCTTTCACATAGTTTTTCATACTGATCAGTTTCTTTTGCCCTATAACCACTTTTTTTCCTATTGAAATGTATGCTACAATGACTAAAATAATGATTATAAAGATTATAAAATAATAGAAAGACAGTGAAACCATATAATCTTTAATATTATACGTAGAATGACATAACTACCTAAAAAAATTCTTATTCAAGCTAGGAATCGTTCTAGAGTGCTTGCCTAGCATGCATGAGGCCCTGGGTTCAATTCCTTGATACCACATAAAATAAAAAAGTCAGTCAATAAATTGTAATTTAAAAACAAATTCCTATTCAAACAGGAATAAAAAGGATGAAGAAAAATTACCTTAAGAGTTAAGATTAGACCAGATTTCATACCAGTACTTCAGTTGAAGACAGGAATTCAGAAACCAGCAACCTCTTCCCCTCCCCATTCACTATTCGTGAGTAGAAGCTTCCTTAGGGTCATGAGCAACTGATAAGCAGTCCCAGGAAAACAGCAGAATGTGTAGACTAGGCAATGGACTCAGGATTTGTGCTCCAGTTTCAGTTAAGCCATCAACTGATTGTACAATATTGGGAAGGTAATTAAGTCTTTTAGAATTCAGAATTCTTATGCTCCAAATCTACCCTAGAAGGATTTTATTAAAACAATATGTAAAAATACTTTATCAAACTGTAAGGAGGTTGTAATCATTACATGCCTGCATTATATTTTTTAACTATAAATTAGAACATACAGTAACATTATCCAACTAAATGATCAATGCATGCTACCTGCTAAATTGGACTATACCCAAAACAAGTATGAAGGAAAGCAAGGGCTAGTTCCCGCCAACTTCTTTTTCAACCTCTCTTCTAGCCTGGATTGGCCCATTAAAACACTAGCGTGCACTTCATAGCCTTCATTGACTCTTTAGTGACACACAGATTTACACGTCAGTATGTATTTTCCTTCCTAATTTCTTTTTCTTTTTTTTTTTATTGGTTGTGGGGCCTGAACTCTGGGCATGAGCACTGTCCTTCAGCTTTTCAGCTCAAGGCTAGTGCTCTACCACTTGAGCCACAGTACCATTTCCTGCTTTTTCTGCTTATCCGGTGCTAAGGAATCCAATCCAGGGCCTCATACATGCAAAGCAAGCACTCTACCACTGAGCCACCTTCCCAGCCCCTCCTTCCTAATTTCTTTAACAAGGTAAGCCACATTGAGCACCTGGTTCAATTCCATGACCTGGATGTCATATTACAGGCATAACAACTCCTCTTACAGATTAATTCTAAGTGTAACTCTATTACTTCATTGTATTTTGTAGCCTCTGACCTATCTTTGTTCATTATCTCGCAGTTTACTAATTCATTTATTTTTTTATTAGTAGTTATTATTCCTAACTTAAGAGAGCTGTCAGCTATTCTACCCAGTTAGAATGTTAATTTAAGCTCCTGTGAGGTCTAGTTCTGCTGGCCTTTCTGTGAAAGGCAAATCTTATAGTTAGTTATATTATCATAGACTCAGGAGATAGAGCATATCCTGAGGCAAACAGAAAGAAAAGAGGAAATCTCTTGGTACATGACTTCTTTAATGCAACAAAACAATGTTTATTTATTATCCAAAAGATCCAATGCTTTGGGCTTTTTAATAAGAGCCTATTTAGCTGGTATTTTTAAGAGGGAAAATTGTGACCATACTAACTTCTCTGTCCCAAAAACGAGAAGAAAATTGCCATAAGTGAAATACTGTCTGAGCCTACTGTAATCTCATCTGCTTCTTACCATAAAGACAGAGATGGTCTTTAAAATATTTGAATGAGGAATTTGTGGTTGCAATAAGTTTTTCAGGATATGGATGCAGGCTTTTTAGGGATTTTCATACTTTTCGAAGAAAAAAGATGTACATAATATGTTAAGATAGCATCTAACAAAGTAAGAAGTTGAGTGTTTTTGAAAATAACCAAAATAACAGACTACCTGATCAAAAAGGTTCTCTAATGATCCAGAAACACACATGAAGAACACCAGCAAAACAGGGGAAGGGGGAAATAAATACCTTAGGGACAAGAACGCAATTCACAGTCCAAGCCAATATCTTTTTAAGTCCCCTAAGGTACAGAAGGGGTTCATTAATCTCCAACACCATGAAAACATAATTAACTTCTAGTGACTGATGACTAGAATAACCTGAGCGCAGATGTCAATCTTATGAGGTCAGTCATCTTGGATTAAGGTACAACTGGAGTCATGGAAAATCCATTTATAACAGGTAAAAAGAGAAAAGCAGATCTGTACTGAGAGAAAGAATGACAAAAGGGAAAACAGAGGTCTACTGATTTCTGTAATTACTAATACAACAAATCAGACACTGACAGTACTGTGAACAATGGCTATCATGAAAGGTGATTCACTAAATCAAAATATCAGCAAGGGCAACACTACTGGTATCACTGAAACAGCCTTCAGTGACAACATCATAAAATGTCCATGATGTCATGATATACATTTTACAACTCACCTCATGCTTAGAGAAGAGCCGAACACCCTCTAGCTGGTGGAAAACTGGATAATGCTGAGAATCAATCTGGTCTCGACGGTAAACATCGCCCACCACCAGGAAGGCATCCAGTCCTGCATGCAGTAAGTCCCACTGGTGAGCCGATGTGTGTGCTCTCAGCATGTAAGTTTGATTCAGGTAATAGTTGTCCCCCTTCTTCCTGCTGGGGTGGTCAGCCGGGATGAGCAAGCTGTCAAAGTTCTGCCAGGTGGTAACCACTGGAGAAAGGTTATCATAAACAGAGAATAGTGGGGTTCTAGAGCGGCCCATATACTGCTTGTAGAAGTGTTCCTTCACCCTCTCCTTTATCAGCCACAGAGGGTGGTGTTGCTGGTTGTGCAGGTTCTTGCCCACCCTGGAGAGAACCTTACGGGAGAGGTTGCTGTGGTCATCCTGAAGATAGGATTTTCCCAGAAGTTCCACCACACTACCAGATGCCGCTTGGGCAGCACACTCTGCTGTAGGCTTACTGGAGCCCCAGGCCTGATGCTGATAGCTTCTGTAGGCATGACTAGCCTTCCTTGCCAGGCAGATGTAGACACAGATAACTCTCCTAAGAGCTGAGCAAACCATTGCAGAAATGTCTCACAGATTCTGGAAGAGAACACATGCACAAGTTTTCTTCTGTGGGTAACAAGTGTGTCCTTTGTGCCTCCCACCAGCTTGCCATTTCCCTCCAGACATGTCCCACTATCACCTCCAGACAAGGTTAATTTATAAAACCACCTGACAGAGATTTTCAAAACTTATGTTGAAAATTAAAGTAGTATCTGACAGTATTAGAGAACTTTAAGTAGTAATGAGGGCATAAGGGTACTTTGTCCTCAGATTACTCTTGTTACCACAAGAGCAGGTCAGTTGGTCCCCCATCTCTGGTCTCTGCCAAGATTTTCACTCCCCATCTCTGGTCTCTGCCAAGATTTTCACTCAATGCTTCCACCTTGATCTTTAGACTCCCAGAACCAGAACTCTGAGGAATGTTTTTTTTTTTTTCCTTTATAAATTCTGTGATCCCATTATAGCCACAGAAAACTGACTAAAGTGCAAGGATCACTAAGGTCATTTTTAGTGCCTTAATCTCTATTGGTCCTTTTCTTATCATCTAAACTTGTTTTGTGGTAGATTTTTCTTTCACCATGCTGTGTATTCCAAACTCCTCATGTGGGATGATACTTTAAATGTGACAACTTCCTTTTATTTTTACTACATTCTAAAACCAAAAAGTTCTAAAAGGATCACCTAAAAGCATATATCCACCTACCTGGACACTAACAAAGATCCCATTGATGAAAGAATGCACATGACCAATCACACAGGCATCTGAAGAGAAAAATGTAGCAACTAGCCATATTTCACTATCTCCCATCTGGTCTCATAATGACAAAGTTCTGTTTGCCTGTATTAGCAGATTTTGGATTTTATCACAAGACCATTACTCACAATACTATTTCTAAAACATCTTAAAGTATATCCCTTTAAGAAGTAGTGATCTTTAGATAATATTTAAAGAGCAGATGGGGAAAAAGTAAATAGAAAAACAAGAATAATAATACTTTGTATTGAATTTCCAATACAAAGTGATAGACTGCATTGAATCTATTTTTATTAATGCAAATCATATCTGTATTATATATGGTTATATTTCAATTATATCCTTGCTTGGTAAAAAAAGCAAATTTCTAGTACTTACAAAAACTATACAAAGCACAGGATTGAACTTACTATAGAAGGGACAAAGAACTGACAGAAGACAAGTACTAACACAGATTTAGAAAACTAAATAAATAAAGCCAGATTTGATTAATGATTCTAGTACTAGGAAGGCTGGGGCATGAGGATTGAAAATTCAAAGCAAGCCTTGGCTACACAGTGAAACTTTTAGCTCAAAAAAGAGAAAGAGGGAAAAGGAGAAAGAGAGGAAAGAAAAAGCAAAGGAGAGGAAGGGAAATAAAAGACAAAAGAAAGCAAAATAGAAAAAGAGAAGGTAAAATATGCCAAGAATTTAATAAGATCACCAAATTCCACAGGTAAAAGTCTCTAGCTTAGACTTCATTTCTAAGATAATATGACAAAGACTCAAATGTAGCTGTCCAAACTCTAATACTGCTAGCATTAAAACAATAGCAAATGCTTCTGTACTGCTAATACCTCATTTATCCCCCATATACAGAAACCAGTTTTAAATCCCTGAAGGATCTCAGAAATGAGAATCAATGGAAATCATATCCTACCATATATAAATAATTTAACCTTATAAACATAAATCACTAAACTCTAGCTGCTAAAATGTGGAATTTTTACCTACTGAGCAACTTAAAAACATACAACTCTGTAGCTGTCCTAATTCAAGCCCATGTTATCATGTCAACTAGTTACAAGTAGTCACAGCAATCATCTGCATTAGCAGAGAACTATGTTGCTCCAAGTGACATCCCAAAAGCTTACTGCCATGTGACTGCCAGCTTACTGGCAGCACAAATACCCAAATCAAAATCAGAAAACCTAACTCCAAATTAAATTGCTGTGTTCTTCTGCTTAAAAGCCTAAACACAGAACCTTTGTCCAAGACAATCATGTGAGAAATTTTCAAAGGTGATTAGGGACTTGGAATTTATTTGTTTATGGCATTATTTTGTCAAAATGGCTTCAAAACTGTTTTGGGCTGAGACTCAACAGAAATCCATCTTTTTTTCTTTCCTTGTTCAGCAGTGTTACTACAGTGGATAGGAATTTAAAAATGCATGACCAGCTTACACATCTTAGCCCAAAGAACAGTTAGGTTGTTAATTATCCAACTCAGTACTCTCAGTGAGATAAAAGAAAGCATTTCTTCCTTCCAAATACATGTGCTGTTCCACAAAGTTCTAGATTGTTCTGGAAACATTTCTATGCAATTATTTTTGTTACTAGCTATACATTTCTTTCTCAGTTTTTAGGTCCTCACACACATCTGAATTCAAGGTTCCTACACATATATCCCAACCTCACCTCTCTTCACTGCTCTCCTCACATAATCCACAGCTTATAAAGAAGTTTAACTTTCTTATGCTCATTTTCAGATCTTTTATCTATTCACTCAGACCCTGCTAATATCCCCAATGTCATTCTTCCCACCCAAATAGCTATTTGTTCTTTGTATTCTCATCTCATAGAAAGAAGATTAATGACAAGGATAGCTTTTTGTTTCCATCTTTGAAGTGAAGTCTTTTCCTGCTGCCTCTTATCAAATTTCTTTATAAGAATTAAGTCATCTAGAAATATCTAAGAGACCCAGGGAGATAGCAATTCCTATTTCCATTCTAGAGTACTCTTCCACTTCACTCTTTCTGCATTCCTAACTATTTTAAGTAAATTAAAGCCCATACAGACCAAGTGATCACCCCAAAATCTTACACTTTACATCCTATACCATTACATAAGTTTGAGAACTCAGCAATTCAAGTACTTCTCAAAAGACTGAAGACTTTTCAATTCCTTCCCCATCGTTATCTTCTATTTATCTGAATAATTCAGACCATACATCAACCTACTTTAAACACATACCTTTTAAACACACAAATAAATAAGCTAAAAAAGTTAATTACCGAGCTAGGAATGAGGCTTAGTGGTAGAATGCTTGCCTAGCATGCCTGAAGACCTAGGTTCAATTCCTCAGTAGCACATAAACAAAAAAGGCTGGAAATGGCATTGTAGCTCAAATGGTAGAGTGCTAGCCTTGAGCAAAAGAAGCTCAGTGACAGGACATAGGCCCTGAGTTCAAGCCCCAGGACTGAAAAAAAAATTACCTTATATATGAGAAGTGAAATAAAAATGTAAACAAACAAAATATGTGAGCCAAGGGCCAAATCCACTATAACCTCTTTGGTGAAATAAAGCATATTGGAATACAGCAAAGGCAATTATTTTATAAACTGTGTATGGTGTTTGGTTTGGTTTTGTGACACAAAGGCAGGATTAAGTACTTGCCATACAAAGAATAACACTTAAAGCCTAAAACACTGTCTAGTCCTTCAATAAAAACATTTACCAAATTCTATTTCAACTTAATAAAATCTTCATAGTCACAAATACATGTGAACTAGAGAACCACAAAAAGTAACAAGAATAAATGTAGATAGTATTTTGGAACTGGTACAAAGAGCACAGAGAAGATGACCATGAGAAAAGTCAACCTAATACAGCAGGCCACAGGACAGATTGTAGAAATGTTCACCTGGGTTGCTTGGAAAGTGACCCTCTGAGGTACTGTATGGACATATTATTTGATCTTTCTGGTCATCAAACTCTTTATTATAAAACAGAAAAAGTGCCAGGAGCTGGTGGCTCACATCTGTAACCCTAGCTAGCTACTAAGGAGGCTGAGATCTGAGGATCACAGTTCAAAACTAGCCTGAGCAGGAAAGTTTGTGAGACTCTTATCTCCAATAAACCATGAGAAAATCCAAAGTGGTACTATAGCTCAAGTGGAATAGCGTTCACCTTGAACTGAAGAGTTGAGGGACAGCACTCAGACCCACAGTTCAAGCCTCATGACTGACAAAACACCAACACAACAGTAATATTTAAAGAATTAAACTAGATCCTGCTCCTAAGAACTCCTAGTCTAGTGTGTAAGAGATGACTTAGAATTAAAAGTGACCCAGAGATTGCACAGATCAGGCAACAGAAAAAACAGCAAAATGTACACTGAGATAAAGAACACAAAATGAGCTGGGTGTCCATGGCTCACGCCTGTAATCCTAGCTACTCAAAATGCTGAGATCTGAGGATAGCGGTTCAAAGCCAGCCCCAGGAAACTCTGTGAGACTCTTATCTCCAATAAACCACTCACAAAACCGGAAGTGGTGCTGTGGCTCAAGTGGTAGAGTGCTTGCCTTGAGCTGAAGAGGGACAGCACCCATGCCCAGAGTTCAAGCCCCACAACTGGCCAAAAAAATAGGAACATAAAATGAGTATCTCACGTGTCATTCAGATCATCTATATAAGTAGCTGTAGAAAAACTAGACAAAAGGAAGTATGAATGAGATAGTCATGTTTTAATTTACATGAAAAAAATAAAGTAAGATTTGGAAGTAAAGAGTTTATTTCTAGAAATGGAATGAATTTGTTTAGAGATAAGAGGTTATATAACAATGTATAGGACTATAATAGAAGAGTGTAAATATAAGAGAGAATAGAAAGAGTAAGACAATAGAGAACAAAAGAGTATAGTATCACAAAGTCTGCAAAGGAAAATATATACAAGGAAAAACACAAATACTACTCTATGTACAAGGCTTAAGATACTGACTTATCATTAGTTATTTTGTCATCATGCTACATTATGCAATTTGAGCTTAGTATACACAAATGGGCATACACAAGCTTGTATGCACACATGTACATATACACACACACATACACACACCTTCTTATATTAATCTAGACTCTGAGTATAGCCTACCACTATATCTGACAGTAAGAGAAAGAGAGAGGCAAAAGAAATAGAAGAAGAGGAAGGATAGAGCAAACTTGGTCAGCAGGATCAAACACAAGGTGAGTAGGCAGAGGCAGCCACGTTAAGAACTATTTAACACTAAAGTTAAAAAAAAAAC